TGATGTTAAAAATCTCTTTCACATCGCAGTCAATAGAGTTACGGCAGAGGAATGGAAAAACTGTATCCGCCACGTTCGGGAGAAGGTTGAGGTCAAAATGTGGGATTTGGACAATGTCATCGATACCCAAATTGAACCTCTAATAATTCATTTAAACGATTCAGGAGATTCAAGTTCCTCTTCTGAATAATTACCCCAACTTACTTACTAATAACTAAAAAGTGTAGTTAACTCATTTGTGAATATCTAACTGAAATTTACTGTAAAAGATAATAATTATCTTGTATGAAATTTTTGATGACTACCCATAATATCTTGATGCGGTCCTGTAATGTCTCCTGCGCCTAAACACTCACTCACGAGCAATATGCGTGTATTTGTTTGGGTTTAGTTTCTTTCTTCAGCGCCTAGAGTATAGTTCTACTTACCTTACACAGTGCAACCATCGGAACAAGCGACTGCGGCTGATCAGAAAAGTCATATATGAGTCACAGTTTGTGGGAAGTATTGACCCAGGAGAATGTCTCGTACAACTGTCAGCTATTATTTCATATTTCTTTTAATCCTGTATTATAACAAACGCCGTCACATCCTCTATGTTCTCGCTAAGGTTCGGATCTTTTGTTCGCGCAGATAATACTGTTTGTCATCCTTTTCAAGTCAATTCCAGCCACTTATTGTGGCGAACGTTGTACCCGCAAGCCTCACAATTGCGCGCTATTGTTATTGAGCTTCGGTAACGAACTTCGTTTACGACGAAGCGCATTTCGTGTCGAGGTATTTATAGGTTAATGTCAAAATTCTTTCGCGATGTAGTTTATTGCAGCAAATAGGTCAATGCTATTTATTATACTCTGTGGGCCTTTTGATATTGTTTAAGGAGTGTAGGTTTGCATAGAAGATTGCAAAATTTACTAGAGACGTAACAATGGGACAATAAGCTGTTTCAAGTGGGATATTTGATGGGAGACAGGAAGTATGGTTTCCACAATTATGAGTGGGGCCGTTCAAGTATTACGTGAGCACTATAGGGGGTCTTTGCTTTGCTTATTTTGGACGACATGGGGGGTAGGGGAGTCTAGATGATGATTACGTCATCGGTAGTTATTTACTTTTTTACACGAATGGCAACCCTCACATTGTCTTTGCTTGAAAACGAAACGCATTTTCGGGGATTCCCGCAAATAATGCATACGTTTAGTGAACAGCGCGTGGTAATTCCCCTACTCGCTTTAGAACCGAGTAGGGGAATTACCGCGCGGTGTTCACTTGTCTAAATTTCCTGTATCAGTGTATTGTTTCGTTTGGATACTATAGCGAGTAGACGTATAGTAAAGCAAGTTAACATTTGTGTTACCATTGATTCCATTAGCCAAAGTTTAATGTTTAAATAAGATGTCGTTTCACATAGACAAATCCAAGTTATACCAAAAATTGTTTGAAAGTTTTAAAAAATCTCATACAAGTATGAAAGTACAAAATGTACAAAAGTTAGTTAAAGAAAGAAGTGTGGCGAAATTACAAATTACAAGCAAAATCCGACAAGGAACTAGATATTATTGTATCTAAGAGAATCGAAGAAGAATTGCCAGCGGCGACTAAGACTAAATCCAATCTACTAATTTTTTTTTCTAAGGTGAGTGACGAAATCATTTTAGGTACCTATGAGTACTAGAAATATTAGAAATCGTCAAAAAGTTTCTCTTTACTGATTAGAAAATATTATGGCCTATCTCAAAGTATAGAGGTAATATTCATTATACTATAGATTTATTTCTTATGATTGATTCCGTTAATTGGTCACAAAGTACAGGATGTTAGTTTTATACATATAGAGATATATATATATATATATATATATATATATACAGGGTGACTTCTAAGTTGAGTCATTTATTTTAACAGTGAGTAGATCTGATCAAAAGAAATGTTTTTTTCCTTTACCATTTTTCTGGTAAAATTAAAGTAACAAAGTTATAGCCCTTTGGAAGTTTGAGTACCGCCCTGTCTCAATAATAATATCATGTGCTCGTGTTTGGCAACAACGGATATAATCCGCCTTATCGGTTCATCGCATCGGAAACAAAAAAGCGAAAGAATTTGGAACGATGTTTTTACAATTATTTTATTCAGTTCAGTTATACATACAGTCAGTGTCAGTCGGTAAAGCGTGTGAATAGTGTCTGTTGCGTGGCTCAAACGAAATAAAAAATGGCACATGTTTATGCGGATCGGTTTCCCAATCGAGTGCAACCAACCCCTCGTGCCTTTGTTAATGTAGTACAACGGGCTCGTGAATCAGGTGACTTAAGAGCTCACAGGGGACCTCACGATCAAATACAGGTCCGCACTGAAATACTTGTCGGGAGGATACTTTATAAAACAAGGTAAACATTTTTTTTTATTTTTTTTTTTATTTTTACACACATATTTCGGTTTATCTTCCTTCTACAATCATTATCTGAAAATTAATGACACAACTTCAAAGTCACCCTGTATATACAGAAAACTAACACCCTGTATTTTGTGACCGGAACGAATTGCTCGTTTAAACATATTAGATTTAAAGCCATAGGGTTTTGTATTTACCATATATATTGCCATACTTTGTATTTATGTAGCTTAGTAAGAGAATCTTTAGCAGAAGCCATAGAAAGTTTTTATTTTTAGGCAACCTGTAAACCTGCAGAAAAAACACAAATTATACAGTCAGCTTCAAATATTAAAAAAGAGGAAGAATATAAAATAAAACCCGGTAATGAATCACAACAGCAATGCGAAATTAATGAAAATACAGATAAACAGAGAGCAAAACCTTCTCAGGAAGCTATGAAAAATAAGATTGCTCTACTCGAAAAAAATCTGAATGCTTTGTATTCTGCCAGAGATACTACGCCAAGCCGTGCTGAAGTTGATAAACAGATCATTAAGTTGCGCGAGGAAATAAAAACAGCAAAACAGTCTTTAAACAGGAAGGTTCAAGATGCAGTTGCCCAGAAAAAACACAGGGATGGTATGAAAATCCAGAAATAAAAAAAAGACTATTTCTGAGGGATTCGGTGGGACGTCCTACTCTTGAAAGCAATCAACATTCACTATTGAAAACAATCGCGGACATAGCTTCATTTGGGAGTGCAGCAGATGATGGAAGACGAACGGAATCAATTCGCAGCGTAAAAACTCTTGATGAACTCACACAAGGATTACGTAAAATAGGATTTGACATTAGTCGCAGTGGGACATATCTTCGTTGATTCCCAGAAAATCTAATTCTGCAGAGGGACGAAGACATGTATCGACAGTCCCTGTTAAGCTCATTGGGGCTCAAACTGATCACCACAAGAGCCACTTAGATAGTAAGTTCGCTGGCACATCAATCCATTATTTAGAGAGCATGGCATCCATACTTGGACCAGATCAAGTATTTTTCATATCTCAAGATGATAAAGATCGAGTCCCTATTGGCGTAACTGCGGCTAATAAGCAAGCACCTCGTCTAATGCACATGGAATATAGAATCAAATTGCCTGATCACGATTGGGTAATCGCTGAGCATCATAAATTAATACCATCTGTTTATGCTGGTATCAAAAGCACTGTGAGTACGATCTAGTTTCTTGGAGTACACCTTGATGCTGGATTAAAACAGGATTTCCACGTAGACGTATCTGCGGCTTTTTCCGACATTCCGACAGGAATGGTTAATTTTCTCAAAAAAAAAAAATGAATACGTTGGTATGATTTTTTTTAAGGAAAAGTAGGTAAATGATGTCTAAACAAGCTCGCGAAATCTGCAACTCGATAACTAATATTTCTGGAATTTCTTTTTATTATTAAGCTGTGGCTTTAAAAAGGACCGATTTAAAACAGAAAGGTTTTTACTGCCCCGTGAATGTCTCTCATGGGTAGACTTCAATTTCGGTTACGTCTTGCATTACGAATCTGGTTTTTCAGATCTTCTCTGGTCGTAGGTAGAGACTGAAACTCGATGTCCTGTAACCGTCTCCATAAATAAAAATCAAGACAACTTAAGTCTGGTGATCGCGAAGGCGATGGAAACAGACTTCCTCTTCCAATCCACCGCTGTACATGTCATACACATATAATAAATATCCTTACTTATGTCATTTTGGCGATTACAATAGTCCCCCCTCCAGTAGGCGTGGGAAGTAAAAAGAAATGCAAACGTTAAAGGTATTTTTGCCGCGTTCATAAATGTGTTATTTTTTCGATAAGCAAAGTTATTTTTCCTTCGTGTTTTCCCTGTAGCTTCCGTATCACCGTTAAGCTACAATGTTTTCATGTTCTTCCTCTTTACTGTTCGAAGTCTTTTATATCGTAAAACTTTCCTGAATCAACTCCTACCTCCGTACTTCAACTTTCAACGCTACCCTGTCAGTAAGCCGAGAGCTCTCTATAACTTCAACCAACTTTTCGTAGTTTTTAACTGTAATTTTTCAACAAAAATGCATTGCTGGTTTACAACTACTACAACTATAGAGATAGCTGTGTATGCTGGTTTTACATTGGACTTTAACTGATTGGAGTATGTTGGCCGCCACGTGTCCAGTGGCGGCCCACGGATGTACTACAAGGGCTTCACAATTGGATGATTATAATTTTCTTCATTCAATTTTACTCGTATATTCGCTCCTCAACAAAAAAAAAATCTGTGACTATGCATTCAATTCCTGTAAATATTCCCAAAAACTAGTTTATGTTTCGAGGATTCATTAGTTTTAGCAGTACCGAAATACAAATCCATTGTTACTGATAGGAAAGTATCGAAACTGCCATGCAAGTTCCACATATGTTACTTCATCTACATCAGTTGTTTCCAAACTATTTTTTCTCATACACCACTCGGTGGATATTTATGTACTCTTAAAGGCAAGCCGGTACTGAATATGATAAAAGAGACGTTAACGATCCACATTTCTAGATGTTCTAAGAAAAAATTTGTATACTTTCAATTTAGTAATTGGTATTTTCTTTCTTTCCAGGTTATTTCGGAAAATACCTGAACAAGTACAACGGTTCCTACATCCCTCCAGGTTGGCGGGAATGGGGCGGTCTCATAATGAACTCCAAGTACTACAACTATTCCATAAATATGAATGGAAAGAAGATAAAACATGGTTTCGACTATCACAAGGTAAGCTAATTTATAAAAGATCAATTTCCCAAAGTTTATCATTTATTTCAGATAAGCTCTCGTCCTGAAAACTCAATGATACTTTATCTCCACCGATACCTAGTTGAAATTAAGAGAAAGTGTACCTTCTGTTACACACCAACAAATACAAGAATAATTGAAGTTATTACAAATACCAAAAATCAATAGGCGAGGACTTGAAATACCATGTATTCAGCGTTACGACACTACACTTAATTCCTAATACCAGGGCTTCTCACCCTTACGTTTTTGTACACACTTGATACAATATAAACTAAGCAGATGCCTTCCAAGCATTCAAATAAAATGACCATTATCGTTAACATTCATTATATAACAATAACACTTCTGAATTCCACATTATGTTTATAAACGTATTATCACATTCAAATGGTGGCATTTAAAATGGAAGAGGCCTTCACGTGGAAGGACAATTTCGCAATGTGCATCCCTCAACGAAGAGCCACGCTTTGATTATTTATTTACAAGCATACCAAATAAATAAAAAGACCTGCCGCTCCCCGTTTTGCATTGTGCATTTTATTATTTCATCGCATCAAGAGAGTTGAATCGAGGAAACAAATGAGTCCCAGAGCGGAAAATTGCGTTCCTGAAGACGCCGCAGTTACGCTCGCCATCTCTCCGGAGGAATATCAACAAAAGAACAACGGATATTTTATTCACAGGAGGCCATGACCAAATACCGACAGCTGTTTGCTTAGAATATGCAATATGTGCTTTGTCAGCTTTATATTTTCGAATCGGTTTAATTAAGATATTCGTCATCTGTTTTTTATAGGATATACCTGAAGAGCAATTCATAGAAACGATTTTCCTAGAAATGTTATTGTCGCTTTTTTATACTGATCCTCTTGCGAAAGCAAAATACATAACCACTATAGGACAGAAATCATGCTGATATTAGACTTCGTTAGTAGAAGTAGGTTTAACTACGGATATTGTTTTCTTTGAACTGCCTTGAACATCCTCGTATCTCCAGGCAACTCCTGAAAATATTAACATTCCTTGGAACCCTGGGCTATAAGGTTGAAGAAGTTTCTTAAATCTTCTTTGATTGCCTTAAAATACCTGGAATCCCTCCAATCTAATTGATCTCGGATGTCCTTAAACTGCCTTGAAATTTTTTAGATCTTGGATTGCCTTAAAAATCTCTCAAATCTCATTCACCTCAGATGTCTTCAGAATGCCTTGAAATTCTTTAGATCTTGGAATGCTTTGAAATTCTTCGAATCGCATGGATCTCAAACGTCCTTGGATTGCCTTGAAAATCTTTAGATCTTGGATTGCCTTAAATTCCCTCGGATGTCGTTGATCTCAGATTTCCTCGGATTGCCTTGAAATTCCTTAGATCTTGAATTGCCTTTAAATCCCTCGAATTTCATTGATCTCAAATGTCTTTGGATTGCTATGGAATTCCTGAGATCCTCTTGGATTGCCTTGTAATTTCTTAGACCTTCTTGGATTGCCTTAAAATTTCTCAGGTCATATCGGACTGTCTTAAAATCCCTCGAATCTCATTGATCTCAGATTTCTTCGGATTGCATTGAAATTCCTGAGATCTTGGATTGCCTTTAAATCCCTCTAATCTCATTGATCTCAGATGTCCTTGGATCACCTTTAAATTTCTTAAGTCATCTTGGATTGCCTTAAAATCCCTCGGATGTCATTGATCTCAGATTTCCTCGGATTGCCTTTAAATCCCTCGAATGTCATTGATCTCAAATGTCTTTGGATTGCTTTGGAATTGCTGAAGTCCTCTTGGATTGCCTTGAAATTTCTTAGACCTTCTTGGATTGCCTTAAAATTCCTCTAATCTCATTGATCTCAGATGTCCTTGGATTGCCTTGGAATTCATTAGGTCATCTTCGATTGCCTTAAAATCCGTTGAATTTAATTGATCTCATTGATGTCCTTGGATAACCTTTAAACTTCTTGGGTCATCTTGGATTGTCTTAAAATCCCTCGAATCTCATTGATCTAAGATTTCGTCGGATTGCATTGAAATTCCTTAGATCTTGGATTGCCTTTAAATCGCTCGAATGTCATTGATCTCAAATGTCTTTGGATTCCTTTGGAATTCCTGAGGTCCTCTTGGATTGCCTTCTAATTTCTTAGACCTTCTTGGATTGCCTTAAAATCCCTCCAATCTCATTGATCTGAGATGTCCTTGGATTGCCTTGGAATTCATTAGGTCATCTTCGATTGCCTTAAAATCCCTTGAATTTCATTGATCTCATTGATGTCCTTGGATTACCTTTAAACTTCTTTAAATCTTCTTGGATTGCCTGAAAGTCCCTCAAATAGCATTGATCTCAGATGTATTTGGATTGCCTTGGAATTGCTTAGGCCCTCTTGCATTGCCTTGAAATTTCTTAGACGTTCTTGGATTGTCTTAAAATCCCTATAATCTCATTGATCCTAGATGTCCTTGGATTGACTTGGAACTATTAAAATCCCTCGAATATCGTTGATCTCAGATGTCCTTGAATTCCTTTAAAATTTCTTAGATCTTCTTGGATTGCCTTAAAGTCCATCGAATGTCATTGATATCAAATGTCCTTAGATTGCCTTGAAATTGCTTAGATTACCTTGGATTGTCTTAAAGTCCCTCAAATGTCATTGTTCGCAGATGTCCTTGAACTGTCTTGAAATGCCTTAACTCTTCGTGGATTGCCTTCAAGTCCCTCAAACGTCATGGATCTCAGATGTATTTGGAGTGCCTTGAAATTCCTTAGATCTTCTTGGATTGCCTTGAAGTCCCTCGAATGTCATTGATATCAAATGTCCTTAGATTGCCTTGAAATTTCTTAGATTGCCTTGGATTGTCATAAAGTCCCTCGAATGTCATTGATCGCAGATGTCCTTGAACTGTCTTGGAAATGCCTTAACTCTTCTTGGATTGCCTTAAAGTCCCTCAAACGTCATTGATCTCAGATGTATTTGGAGTGCCTTGAAATTCCTTAGGTCTTCTTGGATTGCCTTGAAGTCCCTCGAATGTCATTGATCTCAGATGTCCTTGGATTGCCTTGAAATAGCTCAGATCTTCTTGGATTGCCTTGAAATCGCTAAATTTCCTTGATCTCGAATGTCTTTGTATTGCCTTGAAATTCCTTAGGTCTTCTTGGATTGCCTTAAAGTCCCTCGAATGTAATTGATATCAAACGTCCTTAGATTGCCTTGAAATTCCTTAGATCTTCTTGGATTGCCTTAAAACCCCTCGAAAATCATTGATCTCAGATGTCCTTGGATTGCCTTGAAATTCTTCAGATCTTCTTGGATTTCCTTGAAATCAGTAAATTTCCTTGATCTCGAATGTCTTTGTATTGCCTTGAAATTCCTTAGGTCTTCTTGGATTGCTTTGAAGTCCCTCGAATGTCATTGATATCAAATGTCCTTGGATTGTTCTGAAATTCCTTAGATCTCCTTGGATTGTCTTTAACGTCCCTCGAATGTCACTGATCGCAGATGTCCTTGGACTGTCTTGAAATGCCTTAACTCTTCTTGGATTGCCTTAAAGTCCCTCAAACGTCATTGATCTCAGATGTATTTGGAGTGCCTTGAAATTCCTTAGATCTTCTTGGATTGCCTTAAAGCCCCTCGAATGTAATTGATATCACACGTCCTTAGATTGCCTTGAAATTCCTTAGATCTTCTTGGATTGCCTTAAAACCCCTCGAAAATCATTGATCTCAGATGTCCTTGGATTGCCTTGAAATACTTCAGATCTTCTTGGATTGCCTTGAAATCAGTAAATTTCCTTGATCTCGAATGTCTTTGTATTGCCTTGAAATTCCTTAGGCCTTCTTGGATTGCCTTAAAGTCCCTCGAATGTCATTGATATCAAATGTCCTTAGATTGCCTTGAAATTTCTTAGATTACCTTGGATTTCTTAAAGTCCCTCGAATGTCATTGATCGCAGCTGTCCTTGGACTGCCTTGAAATAGTTCAGATCTTCTTAGATTGCCTTGAAATCGCTAAATTTCCTTGATCTCGAATGTCTTTGTATTGCCTTTAAATTCCTTAGGTCTTCTTGGATTGCCTTAAGGTCCCTCGAATGTCATTTTTCGCAGATGTCATTGGACTGCCTTGAAATGCCTTAACTCTTCGTGGATTGCCTTAAAGTCCCTCAAACGTCATTGATCTATTTCGATAGCCTTGAAATTCGTTGTATCTTGGATTGCCTTAAAATCACTGGAATGTCATTGATCTCAAATGTTCTTGGATTGCCTTAAAATCCATCGAATCTCATTGATCTCAGATGTCCTTGGATTGCCTTGAAATTCAAAATAGTCCATTAGTTTCTTCTTTATAGCATTTCATAGCCGATTCCAAATCCTAATTTTAAATAATCCACCCTATATTGCCTCGGGTCTCTTCCCCCTGAGATAGAAAAACATCAAGGTAGAAGTCAAATGAGATCATCTTTCTAACTATCTAGAACGTATTAGTACTGTATATTGAAAACGTTAAACTGCATAGAATTCCTGCGTCCCCTGACAGTAAAAGAAACCTTATGCGCCAAAAAAGTGTCGCTACATCTATCACTGTAAGAAATGGATCTAAAGGAAGTGATGCAACTACCATAGTTACAGTAAATATTTCCTGCGTAGTCGCAGAAGTGTTGCGGAAAAAAAATAGCACCATGTTTGGAATGTGGTAATGGTCACACAGCCAAGCACTTTTCTCATGCCTGTTGCGTTCAGAAAAGAATTCAGGACATCAATACACGGCTACGGACGATGCGAAGTGTGTTTCTGTAAATGGAAATGTCAGAAGAAACTTGCATTTCGATAACATCTCAACTATTGGAAATCGATGGAAAAATCAGCAAGTCTGTTGCATAGAAAAACGTTAGCTTTAGAACATTGCCAATTAGATATGTTTATTTTCTGTTTTTGTCAAATAGAAAATCATATGAGCAAAATTATGCATCCCAAGGTAAAAGTAGAACCTTTTTT